TTTTCGGTTGTAGACGTTTCCAAAACTTAAAGACATTTTACACGGGAATGTTCCATACTAAAACCCCTAAGAGAATTATCTAACGAAGTTTCAAGCTCAAGTTTGCTTGTAACCTACTAAAGACAAGTAAAAAATCAAATAAAATGAACTGTCGAAAGAGAACGATAATTTTTAAAGGGATGGATCAATTATTAACTTTTGAAATAAACAGACATCGATAACCAAATTTGTTTTTGAAAACCTACATCAGAATAATTTAACGATATCTAAACAGTCCAGGCATTTTAATGTTATTATGATGGAAAAATATATAGACATTTATGAATCCTGAAACATTTCACTTTATAAGGCAATAGTGTAAAGAGCCTACTTACTATCAATTGCCACACCACAGGTAACAATCGCCACGCACTCATTCGCCACTTGATCTCATCACTCAAGATCATATCACCAATTTGATGTCGTTTCAAGGCAAATAATAACTGCGTTGCATCAGCACAAAGTAAAATATGCAATAGGCTATTGGCAGTATGAAAAATAAAGTATTTTTTGGCATGTGTACTAAACATGAATATTTGGGAGCGTTCACAATTCTGACAAAAAAGAAGTTGATAATATTACAAATAATAAATCATTAAATAGAAAAATATTCTTTGATCTATTATCACATGACCAAAAACGCCTAGAATAGGGTATTTGACAAGTTTTAGAAAAAGATCTCACGTTATTTACTAATGTTTATAGAATCCATAAAAATATATTCATCATTATGTAGTGTATTTCGGTAAAAAAACTAAATCAAAAACTCTATTTTCAAGTTGCCGCGAAAAACGTATCTCTGGACAATATGGCGTCTCACTGGTGTGTGACGTCACACGAATGTCATTAAAACGTCAAACCATACAATCTAATGTAAAGTGTTTTGGGTCATGTGACAATAGACAAGAAAACTATTATCTTTATCGTGGGTTTTTAGTAAAATTATAAATATTTTTTCTGTAAAATAGTAAAAACTCCTGCCAATATTCATTCTAAATACAGATGCTAACAATAGGCACTTTATTTTTAATACTGTCAAATACCCTATTGGCGGAGCCTAAAATGAAGTCACTTGTAAACATGCTGTCGACGTGACATTGCTTTGTAATATATGACGTTTTAATGAGAGCCGTGTGACGTCACCTGCACGTAAGACGCCATATTTGCTAGAGAAACGTTACCGCGGCATATTTGAAAATATAATTTTTATTTTCGTTTTTTTGCTTATGTACGCAACAGAATTATTAACTTTATAATACTTTTTATAGTCTCTATACACCTTAAAATAACGTGGGAACCTTTTCAAAAACTTGTCAAATTGCCTATTGGAGAGTTTTTTTTTTGAAGAACGAATCTTATGTGAATAAAATTCTTGTGATTTACATATTGTTGTACTAATTCGCAAATCACGACTCTAACTGGCATTGGAAGGCACAGTTCACGAGGTCAAAGATATAAAGAGAAAACATAGAGTGACGGCACTGCGTTTTAATCGCAAATTTTTAATTTGTTAAATTGAACTGATCAGTGATAATAATGTTCAACATGTTTGTAAGGCCGCTTTCAAATAAGAAGAATACAGATGACTATAAAATATTACTAAAATGGATATTGAAGCAAAACTCAAACTGCTGTGGAAATATAGAAAGTTAATATAACGCCTAAATTTAGTTATGTAGGACGATTATAAACCGATTAAGTTTTACATCGCGAAGCAGAAATGGTGCGAGCCATAAAGGCGCGTGAAATACTAATATCTTTAAAGGAATATTAACTTCAGAGTGATTTACATCGTTAGTTCAATTTATTGTAATGTAATGGTCGGATTTTGTTTATGTGGTAAGTTTAATGCAGTAGAATAACAGCAGAACAATTCTAAAACTTTGTTATGTGTTCCTATTTAGTTTTGACTGTTAGATTTTTCATATGTAAGCAAATTTTTATTTGTTTTTCTAACAGAATAATTTCAAATCGTCATCTGGGAAGAGCGAATTGAAAACAACAGATATTTACAATATCTGTATTTAAAATTTGTTCTCTGGAGCTTTTTGAGGTAAGGCTTCAATTGTTTTGAATACCTATTTTTTCATATTTAAACAAAATTATCATCAAAGCGTTGCTTCTCTGCAGCAATGCCAACTCCGCAAAGCATAACGAAATCTTCCATTTTAAATTCAGTTATATTTTAAAGTTCAGTCTGTTACAAGTACTCGTGTCATAACATCAAACATAAGAAAATAACCAGCAAGAAACTTGTGGTGCATTTCAATTGTATATCACGAGTCCTGTCGGTACAAAGAAATAACCTATTTGATACTCCAGTTAATGTTGACATACTGTCCAACTCCTATACTCGATTCAGTTGAAATGTATTTATTGATTTCACACGTCCGCCTCGGTCCATTTACGCAAATCGATCGGCGGCGTGAGTTAGTGCCTACACGAACAAATCACCAGCAGAAATTCGCATTGAAAGCAAGCAACGTTTGAAACTCTCGCGACTGGCGCCAAAGCTTTTTTGTGACATAGCACAAAATGTATGACAGACAATTGAATTGCAGATTCAGGCTTCGAGATTATCAAATAAATCGTTTCAACATTTTCTGTAGTCATTGAACAGCCTACTACAAAGGTGTTTTCATAAAACTTAATAAAACATTCGAATGTTCTATCTTTTTCCACAATTCAATAATCGTACCAATTTCATAGATGTGAAAGTTTGTATTTTATTACTCATCACACAAACTTACATCACACAAAAACGGATTTGGATGATATTTGGCTCACAAATAGGTAAAGTTTATTAACAGGACAGGACAGGAAGACATAGGATTTTTTTTTATCCCAGAATAATTTTAGGTTCCTTTAGGATTTTTCAAAAAACTAACTATAAGGGGAAGTCGCGGGAGGAAACTAGTAAAATAATACTTTTTAATTAATATGTAGGAATAGCAAGACAACTATTGTAAACATACATAAGTAAAAAAAAATGTCTACTTCATATTTAGCAGACGCCTAAAAAATTAATAAATTGACCAAGTGATTAGTTATTCAAAAGGCAAATTATCATTTTCAATGATACGATAAGAAATGGGTTTAGGTTCATGGGGAAGAAATCATGATCGTCCAAAAATTTTATAGTACTCTTCGAATGTCAAGAATACAAAAGTCATAACTCTGAACTGGACAAAGCAACTACAATAAATAATAGTTTGATCACATATTAAAGTTAACGTCAAAGTAAACATAACTCTTTTATTGAATTTACTAATTGAACTTTTTTTTTGCTGTAAATTTTCTGTTTATTATTTTCCTCTAATGTTCTTTTAATATCATCATAATTTATATATTTATTTAAAAATCATATTACATTAGAGGCATATTAGTGGGTAATTGGACATAGTGCGCTGTCAACGCCTTGTTATAAGGGACAGTTAGGAGTTCCATACAAAAGATATCAACGCATCAGCTTAGCAATAATACCAAATACCAAGAACTATTACAACGAAGTCATCAACATTAAAGAAGTGCAATCTCGCTGGCAATATTAATATTCTTTTAGTCTTTTGTTTGAGTGTAGAGAAATTTGTTTACTTATTAAAAAAAAATAAGATGTAATAGTACATATATAGAGACCGAAACTGGCAAGATTCTCTAAACTTAAAACCAAATTAGACAACAGTCTCTTCTTTAAATGCTGTACAGAACATGACAAGGATATAACTGCTGTCAAATTTAATCTAGCCAGAATCGGGCCCAATATCTCGTAATGATAATTAAAAAAAATGTTATACGCATGAAAAGTGTTTTGTTCTGCCTAATTACATGAGGTTTTGTTATAATGCTCGATAACCTTAAAATACTGATTTTAGTTATAATCATCTAGCAAGACTAGTAGACAACAGGCTCTTCTTTAAATTATGTATAGAACATGACAAGGATATAACTGCTATCAAATTTTAATTTAGGTTTAGAAAATCTAGCCAGAATCGGGTCCAATATCTCGCAATGATAATTAAAAAAAAAACTTTTGTAATACGCTAGGAATATTGTTTTGTTCTGCCTAATTACATGAGGTTTTGTTATAATGCTCGATAACCTTAAACTACTGATTTTAGTTATAATCATCTAGTGTATATTCAAGTCGAGAAATCCAGCGGTATACTGTTCTTAAAAAATTAATATTTATAATTATGTACAAAAATACAATAATTATAGTAAAATTATTTTTTTAATCATAATAAAATATTTGTAAACTATTACAAGCAAACACAGCTGTACATAAAAGTGTATTACCTCAGCGATACAATCTATACTAAGACAGTATTTATCAATTAACTTTAGGCAATAATCCCCTGAACACGATCTTAAGAATGTGCAAGGAAACTAAATAATTAATTAATTATTAATTAACGATAATAAGGCTTGCTATAGTCACGTATACGCTGTGTTCCATTCTTTCCTTTTAAATGACATTTGTTATTTGATGAAGAGAGACAAAACATTAGACAAAATAACACACGCTTATACTCGCTTTTAATAAAACCTTACTGTTAAATATTTTTTTGTAATAAATAAACTTTAATATTAGAAACTAAATCGCACACATTGCAACAATTACTTCGTTAGACAAATTGAGTTAAGATTCCGATAGATAAATAATGTTTTGACTTTCAATTTTTTTTTCTATCAAATCAAATAGTAAATCAACAAATGCCTCCTAAATACTTTGTCTTAAGCATTATCGATATATCGAGTGCAAGCGATTAACTCCCTTACTCAGCAGTATATTTACTCGGTTTAGTGCCGTTTTTAGCGTACGCTATCTGGAACGAGAAGTAAGTCTGGTCATGTGAAATAGATTTACTGTTTGTAAATCAACAATGCCTCCTTAATACCTTTTCGTAAAGCATCGAGATCGAGTGCAAGCGATTAACGCCCTTATTTAATACTACACTTACCCGGTTTGGTGCCACATTTGGCGTACGCTATCCGGAACGAGAAGTAAGTCTGGCCTGTTGACGGTGGCACGTAAACGCACCGCGGGTCACCGTGCTGACCTGCGCAAACGCAACAACTTATAACAAAACAACAACAAAAAGTGTTATTGTACTTACAAATGTACACAAACTTACAATAAACGCATCGCATTTTTTTTTAATAAAATTGAGAAAAAAATGTTTGATTAGTAAATGAGACACCTAGGAGCCACATACGCAATATTCTTAATTCAAATTAAAGCGAAACATTTTGATTACATTTTAAATTTGATTTAATCACTTTGGTGTAGGGTTACAATCCGTCTGGATTAGTCCGGACTTTTAGAAAATTGTACGGATTTTGTACGTATCATAAAATTTTTCGGATTTTTTAAAATTACATTGGATATCAAAAATTAAAGTACATATTGATTTAAATACCATACCCAGCATACCATTGTAACAAAGTGAGTAATGGTACCATTTTGCGACTAAAAAGTCCGGACTTTTTTCAAAATTTCAGGATTTTTGTTAGGACTTTTGAAACCCTTTGGCGCCAGGGGGGGGTCATATAGTCGTGGTCAAGTCACAGTGGGTACAGATTGTGAAGTACAGATTGTAAGGTGGGTACAGATAGACCCAGCCCAGGGGGGGGGGGGGTCATGACCCCCATGACACCCCCCCTGGATCCGCCCTTGCCCTAATTAGGTGCAAATGGGCCTAAGGGTACTTTTCTCTGAACGAACGCGCTTGTTAACGAGACGATTTTAACCCGGGCCGGTGGCGGATAACCTTGTTCAGGATCACGGTTTGTACGTTTGTACAGACCTTAAACCGTCGCTAATGCCTGTGTCGTTAACATATCTCCATAGTATCCCATACCCAACTGACGACTGGACGTAGACACGGTGTAAAACCGTGCCTAGAGCCGACAGAAATTCGTCTCGTTAACAAGCACCCTATGTAAAGTCTTGAAGCTTAAATTCTCTCTCTTTTCACGTAAACCTCACACAATAGACTGAAATTGATAGGAGCATATTAGCACGATTAAAACTTTCTGATTTAAGTTAAATGGTGTTTTCATTTTTGTTTATTAGGTTTTCACGCACATCACTCATTAAATAAAACTAGTTTTAACGGGTTAGTGCACGAAACTTTATTTATTTATTGACGTTTCGCTTTTCAGGTCTACTACCGTAAACTACCACCGGTTCCAAAATTGGGAGACCTTTCTGCGAAGAACCGGCGAAACAAACTCAGAGAGGCTTTCTATCTCCTTCTTATATTAAATCATGTTTGTATATTATCCATTAGTTCAGTATCATTAGTCTGACGACGCTGACCTGAAAAGACTGCGAAACATCAATAAACAAATAAAATAAGTGAAAACCTAAGAAACAAATATCAATTACATTTTTCTCATAATGATTTGCATATGTGCCCTTTTTCAATTTAACCTTGATATTAAAAGATTGAAGATGGATAGAAAGGAAAAAAGTCGCAAAGGTAGAAATGTAAAAATAACTATTTAAAATTATAAGATTCAGGACCTGGACACCACCACCACACACAAAAGAGAGTGGCCTTAAGGTAAAGTATTTTAGAGTACACTTATTAAAATAAATGACAAGTTGAAACCATTATGTATTGAGTAAAAATTAAAAGGTGCAAAGAACTTTTAAGTCCTTTAAACAGTCCATATTACCGAAGTATTCTCTTATAACATCTACTTAGTAGCTTTTAAGGACCCACGCATATCCATTTATAACACAAAAACTTGAGTTCCCTCTATCTGGCAGAATCTTGTCTCCGAAATTCATTTGGCATAACAAACTTGACATCTTCTTTCAACTATTATTTTTAAGGCATGTTTGTAAACACAATTATGTTTAGTCGAATTTTTATGGCTCCGAATTTTGGATGGCATAATTGGCTTTGGAAAAAAATATTTTGCATAATTTCGTTATGCATAATTGGTGTTTGTGGTCAGTGGATTAGGTTAGGTTAGTGCTGTGACCTGATATTTAATATAAATAACACAGGCTTAAATATTTGTATGCCAAAACTTGATTCTGACTGTGAACTGTCTGATATATTATGATGGTTCTGCATTTTATTATTGTGCATATTAAATTTATACCTAAAAATGGTTCTGGTTTACAAAATAATCCTGTTGAATATCTGCTCAATGAGTGAATGCCAAATGATTTTCTGCAATATAAAGTTTATGCCATCTGCTGTTGCATAATAATATTATGACAGTAAAAATTCTGCGATACAAGGGATATCCCACAAGCTTAGGTGAATGCAATGGGTTAAACGGAATAAATAAAGCAAAACAAATTATTTTTACCTCCAGCTTATTAACAGAGACTATTTTTGATGATAACAATAACTACATAATAAAATACCCAAAAATATTTTAAATAGTAAAGAAACTAAATGAAAAAATAGCTTTCTTTTTTGCCGTCAACAGTTGCAATTCACGTCAAATTTTACCGACTTACATTAATTTCTAATATCCAAGTAAGATCATAATCTTTTTCAACATTTAAAACATAAAAGTGACCACCGATTTCAAGGAAATTTATGATAATACCTAGGTGCCACATACATTTACCATCGTAGAGAGAAAGAAAAATGACATTAAAAGCATACAACAACTAGGGCATGAGTTTAACAATTCACTATTTAACCGTCATAATTGTCAGTGAAACCTTGGTAATTATACCGAAGCACGTATTAGAACCGCTCTGAATACCGCAACGATGCCCGCTAACTAAGATAATATGTGAATTTTATTACTAAGTAGGCAGGCAATTTGATATTTCGCTCGCACCAAGCATTTCTTATTTTTAATAAACTGATGAAAGTAAAAGCGGTATAAAAAGGCACCTTGTTAAAATTATTTTAAGCAATATGTATTAATAAAATGGCAAGCGCAGTTCTGCAAGTGTTTAAATTTTTTCAGATATTCAGTGGCACGTCACATTTTACAAATTCATTACAAAAACGGTTCTTTAAAAATAAATAAATTAACACTTGGAAGATTTTCGCTAAATCATACTTTAGTTCTGTGAAAAGTAACAGTGTGTAAAAACAGCTGATAACACAAAAAATATAGAAAGCAGCATAAATGTATTTTTAAAACCATTCAGGGGTAACAGTGCTAGTACGGACATACGAATTAAAATAAAAGAGAAAAGAAATATGCATGTGATGAAATCTGTGTTTATTTATATAGAAGGACACCAACACCAAAGACACGATAGGCTGGATGAGAGATGATATGGTATCTAGAAGAGTTAATGCCGGGATGACGGCTAAAAGAAAATTATTATATTATCACACTAAACCTTGGTTGACTGGAAAAGAACTCTCTTAAAGATAAGCGCTCACAAATGTATGTTTTGTGTCTAACAATTTTTTCGTGTGCAATATATATCTTCAAGTCTGGACTTCACCGTCACTTAACGTTAGGTGGGGATATATAATTTATATACTGAATAGGCATCCACTTTATTGACATATCACCTTGGCACAACTCAATTCGTATTTTTGGGTACTCAAGTATTAAGGTTAGTGTACAATATTATAAGAGTAGATAGTAAAGAGTTAGTACCTTTTGATGAAACGATGCCTTCAAAAGGGTGTGAGAATGTGAGGTGGACATCCATGTGATCTTTCCCGCACATGACCTCTAGTGATTGGATCACGGGCATGCCATCTGGCCTGTCTATGGGCCATAGCTCCCCAGCTCTCACTTGTGACTGTGGACAAAACAAAACAATAAGAGTTTATGAAAAAATCTTTAAATCAACATTATGTAAATCCTCTTCTTCATTCAATTCCTCCATCCTTTTCAGTTCTTCCATTAGAGAGTAATTATATTGTGTGTGTTTCAAAAGCATCGTTGTATGTGTAGTGTATATTTTATGACTGTTATGTTTTTTTGATGCATTATCCAACTATGATATAAATGTAAAAGTTTGTATGTTTATGTGTTTGTATTTTTCTTAAAGGGCTGCCAGATCGTGTAATTTTATACAAAATGGTATAATCAGACTTTTTTATGTATTCATTATGTATAGTTAGTCATTTGGTATAATTGGATACAAGTAATCGCTAAATACAAAGAAAATTTTACTAGAAAAACATCCACGCTGTCCAGGCAGCAGACAGATCTAGCAGTTAAATGTTTTAACAATAATTTTTTTAATGATTTCTTAACTGCTAAATTTAAAAAAAAATCGCGACATGTTTATTATAAAATATACCTAATTACAAACCAACTTGACAATGTGATACTACGGTAACGATGGTGGTGGTTTATGTGTTTTATGTGTGTAAAAACATAAATAAATAAAAACTGTAATATTATTAAATATAGTGGACTTGTTACTTTTATTGGTAACGTCTGACAAACGTCAGATGGTTTTGATGTTGATGATTTTGATGAAAAGGAACACGTAAATTAATCACAGCTGTGATACTAATTATATTGCATTTTACTAGGTCAAGTTGATTAAAATTATAACACGAAAAGGCCATAATTATATTTTACTCGCACTTTCCAAAATATGCTTTTCACTAGGTAATGCCCTATTACAAGCGCCAGAAGGTTCAGTTTTATGATGTCGATTTATAACACGTCAGTGTTTAACTCACAAGAGGCAAGTACGTAACGACAGGCCGCGCGTATGAAAACTGTGTAAACATTATAACTGGGCAACGCATAATTTTTGAACGGAACGTTTACGCCAAAATTGGATGATTGGCAAAACGCTGCGTGCTTGTTTGGGGAAGAGTAGCGATGCAGACTCGATACTTGTCTGTTGTGTCTCTCAGACAACTGTGTCGTTACGGTCACAAGTAGCTTTATATGGTGAACTTCTTTGTAACTGTCATTCCCTAATGTTGTTTCACAAATTAGGTAAAAATTAGGAGGTTAATTGTCTAACTATGACCATGTTTGCGTCCCCTATAAGTATAGTTAAAGAAAAGTGACAATGTAAAGTAGCTTATCTAATTCCCAATTAAAAAAGGGGATCGTGGAAGATCGAAAAAAGTAACACAACAGGCACCATATCTTGAACTAGTCAAATTGTCACAGAAGTATTATTTCAATATCAAAATAATGCTGAGCATAGAATCCGAGGGTCTCATTTACTATCGAGAAAATTGCATTCGAAACTTATTGTAAGTTAAAATAAGTAAGTGATGACTTGGACACAAAACATTCGGACAGAGTATGCGAATTGTCATTTTTTGAAACATTATGCAACGAATTTACATCGATACTTTCATTTCATTTTAATCTCTATTTTTTTTAAAGTTAAATCGAAAGTATCTTCATTGAATTTATTAGTGGGAATGATCATCATATTTTATATCACAACAAAATCGCAATATCATTATGAACATGAACTGTCTGAAAAGGTAAAGAAAACACGAAATGTCATCTCTGTAATTGGGTGGTCTATGACGAGTACCGATTTGATGAATCGCTCGCGCACGTTCCAGGAACGACGCGGGCGCATTGCGTTCCCACGCGCCAAAGAGGAATGCGAAGAAGGGGACAGACACATGCAAAATCACACAAGAGCGAAAGGGACAACGACATCATGTTTGCAACAATCCCGTGCAATTTACATTTCAGTAAGCAAAAACTTAGCCGAAACTCTCGCCGGGTAGGGTTTGATGCGCTCGGATGTTTTTAGACGTCTTCATCAGGTTGTCTTGATTAGTTTTATATCGTATTGTCATAAATCATAAAAAGTGCCGAATTTCCATGCAAATTACGCACTCCACGTGACATTACTGATGCAAGAAAGTGCCAAATTACGGACTGCAGGAGATATTACTCTTAATGTAAAAATAAAAAGTGCAGACCAAGACGGAGTATAATTCTTGATTGCTTTTTTGGAGGTTTCCTTTTACTGAACCGTTTTAGTTTATTATTATAGTATGAAGAAAAAAATAATGATCTTTTTGAAGACAATAGGAGCAAAAATATCTTTCTCCGTTAGAAATTTAATTAATTAGGTATATAGACAATTTTACAATAACAATCATAATTATTATTAAACTAGCGGCAGCCTACGACTACGTCAAGGTGAACTTTATTATTTTTAGAATCCCAAAGGAACCTGACCTTTTCCGAGATAATAAGCACTCTATGTCTCAATCCAGGTCAGTATACCAAATTTCTTCCAAATCCAATCAGTACTTTTTTCGTGATTGAGTCACAAACAGACAAAATTTCACATATATAAATACAGCGTAAATAATATAAATTTATCATAAACAAGGTACCTAAGCGTTTCGAATAAAAAAAATAATATCAATCATTATCATCATTGTGAGTTAAACCAGTATTGTTCCACTGATCCCTCAGAGTTTCACAATACCATAATAATGCTGACTTGATGGTAGACCAACTGTCAAAAGAAAAGTCAAATTCAGTGTTGGCGTCCCGGAGTGCATTGAGGTTACGCAGTAATCTAACCAAAAGATTGTTAAACCTCATCTGTTACACTCTTCTTACTCGCATCCTTTATACATTTTATTATTTCCTGTTTCGTTTCCTCTCCTCTTCCTTTCGCCTCTCACTATTATTAAACCATCCTCTCCTCTTCCTGTCTTTCCCACCTATTCGACCTCCCTGGCTGCATCTCAACGCGGCCTCGGATGCTGATGGGCCTACTCTACCAACTATCGAATCCTATAAACAATATCAACTTTAAAATTAATGTAATAAATAAGTGCTTAAAAAAAAGGTGACATCGCACGAGCCAAGGTGTGGCCTCTGTTTTCGTGAAAGAGATTATGTTGCTGAGGAGGCCTACGCCTGTGTTTTTCGTTGTCATGTCATCACGTGCTTTACGGGATTCTCTGTTTAGAATTACTGAAAAACGATATTCTTATATTCATGGTTCATAGAAACCTAATTAAATAGGTTTTACGTCGTTCCTGCGCACAGATTACGATCTGGTCGTTATCTATCTAGGAAATGTTCACACCTGATAAAGAAAGATGATTCTCCCAAACGTGGATTATGTAACAAATTTGACGATGTTCAACGCATTTTAATGTAATGTGTCAAGTACGGAAAAGGGAGGAAACTGTTCGTACAAAAAATATCGAATTACCTTTTGGAACACAGGGTGTATTTGAAAACATTAGTTCAACCTAACTCAGACGCAGCTAAGTCGATGTTTGATATGGTTTTCGCTGGAAAGAATATCTCGCCTTCTCCAATGTAGATTAATTGGTTAGTGTTAATTTTGTTTAGAATATGATGAGGCTGCCATATTCCATATAATTACTTCTGAAGCTCGATCAGTTTCATTATAGTAATTAATAAAATCATCCATCATTAAAACAATAAATAATTATGATTAGTGAAAGTTTCCGTGTACAACCTTCTTCTTCAGACATGAGAAATAAATAAATCGTGAATAATTACGATTGTTCTACTTTGATGTTTAATTTGCAACTGTACCTTTTCGTCGTTTTAATTACATTAAAAAGAAATTTAATCTTAAAATAAAGTGGAGGTGGTCTTAACAAGCAATAGGTAATAAGAGTTCTCACGATTAATTCACGATTGATATACTAATTGCAATTATTAAGCTGTATTCTCTTAATGATTGGTAGAATACTATATATAATAATATAAATAGTACTAAGATCATAGTGGTTTAAGGAAAATAGATAATGACGCCAAAATCACACTAGAAACAACTAAAAGAGAAAGTTGTTAATTAGCTGATTAAAGCTGTGCTTACGTTTCAACGCCCTATCGTCGAGTAAGTTAAAATTTTTCCAAATTACAATATTTTATATAGAACAAGGAGGAGCTCGATGGCGCAAGTGGTTAGATCGTTGAAGTTAAGCAACTTTCGCAGTGGTCGGTCATTGGATGGGTGACCGAAAATTTATTATCTAGAGCTCCTCCTGCTTTGGAAGGCACGTTAACCCGTTGGTCCCGGCTGCAGTCGTTAGCACCCACCAATCCGTACTGGGCCCACGTGGTGGGTCATGGCTCAAACTCCCTATTCCATCCATAGAGTAGGCCTGTGCCCCAGCAGTGGGGACATTAATAGGCTGATGATGATGAAATAGCACAAGTTTTGGTACAGCTGAAAATTATTCAAAAAGTAAAAGTATTTAGATACTTCTAAGTTATTAGTTTTTAAATCTAAAGAAAATATAACTAGAAAAAATTCCACGCGGACCAGTTTTTTTCTAGTTATATTTTCTTTAGATTTAAACATCAAGCAGTTACATGCTTTAAAAATAATAAAAATTATAATTATTAGTTTTTTATTTATTACCTATTATACTGTACCGATCTAAGCTGAACACTGGATATAAAATATAAATAAAACTTATTACATTTATTTTAAAGACAGCTAATTCATATTAAGTCCTAAGTTTACTATGACTAACAGGAAATGTTTAATATTTCCGTTTTCAGCTTTGAAAGCATAATACTGGATTCGTATCGTTTATGCCTTTTCAGAAATAAGTAAAGATATATATTTATTAATCTAAAATATTGATAATACATAAATTATGTTATTTTATCTAACGTCGGCTTTTACTTGAAATTGTTAAGGATTTTACGACACGACTTTATGAGAATTATTACTTTAATAGGGACAACCATTGCACCTTTTAATGGTAAGTGTACTTCAATGAAATACAGCCTGTGTTACAAAGGAATATAAAATCATTCGATTGACCGGAAAGTGGCGATCGTTAT